AAAAAAAAAAAACTAACGCAAAAAGGCCTTCTCTCAGAATCTGAAGACCCTATACTAAAGGCAGTACAGTCTAGTGATTATAATCACACACTATGGACCCAGACTGCCTGGCTTTCAATTCAGCTCTGCCACTTAATTGTGTGATGTCAACTCTTCAGCAAGTAATTTAACCCTCCGAGCTTCAGTTTCCTCAACTGTGAAATGAGGGTGAAAATAACAGTATTTAAGAAAGGGGGTGAGAAGATGCACATGGACTCAGCATGTCCCCTTGCCCTAGCCAATACCCATCCTGTGAGGACCTTGGAAGCACAAGGTGTAGGGCAGGGACCCTTCCTGGTTGGGGCTAAGTCCAGGCTGCTCCAAACATACCTGGGTTACACTTCTCACAAAGTGATTAAGAGAATCGGAAGTGTTGGTCCAGAGGCAACAGTATCATCAGTGAGTGGACTAGGCTTTTGGTAGGAGTTTTCTAACAAAGGCATCCAGAAATAACTTCAAATGGTGTGTCCTCAGGCTGGGGTTGTGGCTCAGTGGTAAAGCGCTTGCCTTGCACGCATGAGGCCCTGGGTTCGATCCTCAGCACCACATAAAAACAAATAAATAAAAAAATAAAGATTTGTGTCCATCTGCAACTAAAAAAAATTTTTTTTAAAAAAGTGTGTCCTCAATTTAAAGTCTTAAAGCAAAGACGGTCAGATTTACACCTCAGGCAGTGTGTACCTGATTTTTACAAGAAAAGTACCAGCAGCCATCAAGACATTAGTGTGGGGTAAATTTAGGTTTGTTTTCATTTAACCCAAGATACTTTCCCTTCTATTTATGAAGTAATTCTTTGTGCAAGTTTGTAAACTATTTTTAGCGCATCTTTATTTTATAGACAGTGCTAATCTAGGCCGGTAGTTCTCAAAAGTCTGACCCAGAGAACTTCTCAGGCCTAGGACCCTGAGGTGGTTTTTGAGATCAGAACTACTTTTAGAACAATATTTGCCTTTGTGGCTATGTTGTCATTTACATTATGGAAAACTGCTACGGCCTTAGCACAAATTGAGGCAGCTGCACCAATTGTGGCATCGAATTCTCCTTTGACAAAATGTTAAAAAAAAAAAAAAAAAAAAAAAAAAGCAGTGAAAACCACTGATTTTATTAAATATCAATCTTTGAGTCTCTTTATTTTGTGTAATATTATATATAATCTTGTAGCACTTAAGATTGAACCCAGGGCTTTGCATGTGCTAATATTCTACAAGATGCCCAGCCCTTTTTATTTTTGAGATAGGGTCTCACTAAGTTGCACAAGCTGGCAACTTGTGATCAGCCGGACCACCCCAACCCATGGGAATATATGTTGAGAGCCACGGCCGAAGGGGCCCCAGCAAACTTCCAGCTGCCAGCAAACTTCCAGCTGCCAGCAAACTTCCAGCTGCCGTCTGATGATTGGCTCCTTGGCCCCAGCAACATCTAGCTGATTGGCTCCTCTGCGGTGATGCTCATTGGGCTGTTTCCCTGCCCTTTCAGACCACGGAGATGCTCATTGGGGGACTTTTTTGGCTCCGCCCACGTGACCCAGCCAATCGGCCTCAGGAGCAGGAGGATTGTGGGAGGTGGGGAGAAGCTTGTGTGGGAGAGAGAGGCTTGTGGAAAGCCGGTGGTGGCAGTTGAGGCTCTGAGGGTTTTTCCTGAGAGGCTGTTTTGTTTGGCGTGTGTGGTTCTAAAAATAAAGTTAGTTTCCTTTGACAGGTGGCTCCTGATTGTGTCCAGCCAGACTGCGGCATTTATATGAAATGGGTTTATTGATATTTTTAAACTTTTTAAAAAAAGTTTTAATTTCTGGTATCAATAAATGTCTCAAATCAATTTTTAAGAGTTTGGTGGAGAGGGGTGTCCTACAACCAGAGTTTGAAAACTGATGACCTTAGGTAAAATTTGGGTAAATCCTCAAGTGACACAGCCCCTGGCATACTATATGCACTAGGTGGTGCTGACCAAATTCATGAATGGATATGTATGAATCAGCAGGAGGAACTGGAAACTATGCCATGGCATAGTTCAATTTGTCTTCTAAAAAATCCACCTATGACACTGAGCTTTTTTATGACCATCCTCACACACTGCTAAACAAACAGTAATAGGAATTAATAAATAAAGTTCTACAACCTAGTGTCAAGAAATAATAGGTTAATTCATGCATTTTTTAAAAAGTTCTCATAGACAAATACTAACAGCTTTAAAGTAAATGGAGATGGACTTTAAGAGACTAAAGGTATGATTATGTGGCTTCATGGTTGTAGTAATTAAAGAGAAAACATTGTTTAGGGGTGTGGTTAAGAAAGTCACTAAACATTCCAATAAAATCTTATCAGTGTAAGTGTTATTAAAAAAGTGAGGAAACCATGGAAAGGCAAACCACACCCTGGATAAATACATCCATGATGTACTTGACAAAAACTTTTAACAGAATATAGAAAGGATTCCTACAAATCAATAAAAGGACAACCCAATAAAAAAGGAGCAAAATACTTAAGAACCTGACAAAATTAAGATGTATAAAAAGTTTTGATAAACTTATGAAAAGATCATTAGCAGAGGGATGAAAATTAAAATAATCAGGTACCACTACACAGCCATGATAATGGCTAAGTTGATAACTGATATATTTTTTCAGAGCTGATCTAATCCAGGATCTTGCCTCATCCTAGGCAAGTGATTTACAACTGAGCTACATCCCCAGACCAACTATACCAAATATTGATGAGGATTAAGAACAAGTGGACCTCTCATAGGTTGTTGTTAGGGGCAAAAGGGATACAATACTTTTGAGAAATGTCATATTTTAAGAACAAATCAAAAGAGATACTACATATACAAAGGAAAAAATTTTTTAAATGTCCATAACAAAAGTTTGCAGTGCTCATGTTTATTCACAATAGTCCCAAACTGTAAACAACCCATTTTTTAGGTGAAAAAAAAAACTGAGAATAAAACATACTGCTTTCTGGAAAAGAAAAATACTAAGTTGTTTTGCATTCAATTTCTAGAATAACTATATAATCCTAAGTCTTATTAAAATGAGCTTCCTTGGGTCTTTGCTTGATTTCTGCAGTTACAAGATTTGCACCATGTCTTCTACTAAAAATTCATTTGTGAGACTTTTGACTATTGAATACATTTCAACTTGAAAGGCTAGTTCTTCAGAGGGTTGTTTTCCCAAGATAACATTTTCTCCCCTCAGTGCTGGGGATTGAACCCAGTGCCCTGTGCATGCAGCGTAATCACTGCCCTCCATCCCCTCCCAGGTTGAATACTTAGGCAATCTTGCCAGCTGCCCAAGTAAACATTGTTAATTGGCTTATAGTTAAATGGGAGTAAAATTTTATGTAAAAACATTTAGCACACATTCCACTTTTTCTATAAAAATATAACTCTTTATTAAATAACATGCACAAATATCAACTAGTCATTTATTAAACAGATATGATTTAGAACAAGATTTAAAGAAATACAAATCCTTAGGTACAATTTAGTATCTTGTTCATGATATTTGAATAGTTTAAAAAGAATCACTGATTAAACTAGCCATCATTTATTTTTCTTTCAGAATCCAGAACCTTTTTAGGTATATACCCCATTCCAAGTTTTTTTTTCCTGGTAATTCAGAGCTTCAGAATATCTTTAATATCAAGAGCCCTTAACTATTTACTTGATTATAAATTTCCAATAAGAAGGCAGCAATGTTTCTTTTATGCTATCCTGATGAGCTTTTAGTCACCTTACAGAGAAAATCTGTAGAAGTAGAATCATGGCAGAGGCTCCAGCTTTTTGAGGTACCATTGAAAGGGGGAGTACTATGGTTAAGACTAAAAAGCTGGGATGACTGACATTTGCCAGATTCCTGGCTTGTTTGCTTTTTTTTCTTCTACAGCTTGTTCTGTTTGGCCAGTGATATTTCCCCCTACCTTTTCTCTAGCTGGACCATCAGAACAAAATGCTCTATACATTTATCCCTTTTATTTTTCATCACTTCAATGCTTAATAATCTGAGTTTATATATTTTATGACTTTCCACATGATCCCATCAAATTTTCTTTTGAGGTGAAAGTATAAATAAAGGTTGCAGTAAGTTTTTCCTATTAAAAAGTATTGCTTTTATAAATTAGCTTTTAATGTTCCCAGCCTTAATAAACTTAACTTCAACAAAACCAGTGCTTTAAAATCTACCCTGCCTCTCTGGCCTGATTTATCCAATAAAAAAGGCCAACATCGCTCACCTAAAATTCTAAACAAAACAAACTATATCCAACTTTTATAATAAAGTCCTTGCACTGTGTATTTTTTTTACACGTGCTGCTTTATTGCGCATGCTAAGTACAGTAAGAATGAAAATAGAAACTGATGTAAAAATTCAAAAATCCCTAAGCTTAATATGTACCTTTGCACTCAAAAACATTTTGACATTCTCTCCCAATAGCTGGCATTTTCAACTTGAAAGTTGAATTTAAACCACCTTCATTCCTCATATTTTCTTTTTACTTTTTAAAAACATCCAGCGTTATTTTATAAATCAAGAAAGTACTATGGAAAGTTTCATAAATTCCATCTCATATACTTATGATGAATTTTACACTAAGATAATTTTCCTTTCAAAAATGTTCTCCAAGTTCAGCAGCAGGTTTTAGATCTGAAATAGTCCTGAATATTTAATCTATGTTATAGGAGAAACTGGATTTTTCTAAGCATACTGCTAATTATTATAAAACAGCATACCAAATCTTAATTATAAAATTTTGCAAATTATGTCTTGCATCTTGATACACAAGGAAAAATACGTAACATATTAATCTTTCATAAACATTCCAGAGATCAATTGGAATATTTCTAAGAAGCTTTTGCTTATTTTGACTAGCAATATCTCTTTTTTAAGTACTCAGTTTTTATTTTAAAAGTGCAAAGGTTATTAAGCTTAAAACATTAAATTTAAGCAATGTAAAAAAGTTTTACAATGATTTAACATGACCAATAAAATTTATTAAACATATTTACATATATTCACAGATTCTTTCATAGTTGAGTATTAAAATAGACATTTACAATTTTCATTCAAAGGCATTTTTGTTGTTGTTCCAGCAGGAAATAGGCTCTACTGTGAGATGAAAAAAGAGCTGAGCTTCTTCATTTGACTAATTCTAAATAATGTGTCCAACACAGTAAGTCACAGGTTCTATCACAAGAGACGAGAATGAAACGCCTCACACTGTTCCAGGCATCAATATGGACAGAATTAAATTATAGGAAGCATGCAATACAATTAACTCACAATCTTTACAGTTATGATGATGAAAACAAGCTAACTCAAACACATGCATGCCTTATTTAAAGGTTTGCTACCTGAACACACTGCTAGTACACTCCTTACAAACTACAACTTTGGTCCAATAAAGCATTAGACAAAACAGTTTTACAGTTATTTCTTTGTACATGTTTTGACTACCAATCCCTTTGTATACACATTTTGACCATTAATTACAAGATGTACATCTGCACAATATGTATAAAATAAGTTATTAAAAAGGAAGACAATATTAAAACTTTCAAAAAGAAAACTATACAATTAATTTACAGATATAATAAACTGAAGAAATTTTGTGCCAAGTTTTTCTTCCACATTAGAAACTATTTGGTAGTAATGGAACTTTTTAGTTTACTGATAAATTTTTAATAAAACCTGAAAGAGATCTGAATACTAGTGGTTATCTTGTGACGAAAGAGTGCTAACAACTTCCAGCGCTGTTAGCAGATTCTCAACTTTTTAAATATCTACTACAGTCTGCTAACGTGCTTTAACCAATAGTAACCTTTCATCAATATAAATAATAGTTTTCTGTTAGAAACTGTGTTTGGACCTAGGATCCAAAATATTTCTCATTTTTATAAAATGACAGTGTTTACTACATAACCAACTTTAATCCAATTTTACGAACAACTGTAAAGGCATAGTATCAGTATTTTTGTCAAAAGGCAGTATTCCACAGTATAATGCTTGAGCATCATCAGTTTAGAACACACCACCAAGAAGTTATAACTGCTATATAGGAGTCAATTCAAAGTCATCATTAACATCAACAAGGGGAACATAGAACTCCTGAATTTCGTAAATGCTGATAGATTTATAGGTGGCTGGATCAAGTTCCTGGAGTTTGAGCTGCCATTCTAATCTCTGGACAGCATTTAAAGCTGCAGCTTCATGTTGTTGCCTCATTAAAAGACAGGTCTATTTAAAAGAGAAGAGTTAATCAATTATTATGTTAAATGTGCCCTGTTCAAAAGCTAATTTCCCCAATGGTTTCTTTTTTAAAAAAAATTTATTTTTTTTTTTAAGGTGTAGTTGGACATAATACCTTTATTTTATTTATTTTATGTGGTGCTGAGGATTGAACCCAGTGCATCGCTGGTGCTAGGTGACTGCTTACTGCACTCCACAACCCCAGCCCCACCCAGTTTCTTTAGGGACTTAGATATTTACACACATTAGGAATCCTAAAAAAAAATAAAACACTGAAATTAAAAGTCTACTTTTGTTTCACTCTATTGATATCAACACACCAACTATTTTTGGGTATGCACCTTCATATTCATGAATTTTGATTGAAAAATATTGTTTCAAATTATGAGATTTCAAATTACCAATGGAATCATTGAATCTACAGAGAACTGCCTGAAAATCTTAAATAATTTCCTGTACAGATCTACAAAATATATTCCATCTTTTAATGTTTTCCTTTTCTTCATATATTGGGACTATAACCAGACTGGTCTACTGGGGAAGCATGAAAACTCACATCAGAAGCTGCTTGTTCGATGGTAGTTTGGTCTTTTATACATTAGTCCTTAAAATGGACTTGCGGCCTTCATTTCCCTTTAGCTTTCCAATTGTGGTCCACCAGGAAACTCATTAACCATCATTAACCATTATTTCTGTTCCAAATTATCTCTCCCCAATAGAGAGGCAGTTTCCAACTCAGAAGGAAGAAACATTTATTTAAATTACTTTGAAACATACTTACCTTTAATTTGTCAAATTTATCATCCACATCTTGTAACCAAGACATGAACTGTCTTGCATTAAAGCGATCTCTCACAGAAGTTTTACTGTCATCAGACTGAAAGAAAATGTTCAACATAAAAGAATACTGTAATAAGCCACTTTAAAAATCTGTATGTCATTAATATACCTTTTTAATGGAATACATTCATTTTCCAGTAATGATGAAAATATATTTTGAAAATATAAATATAAATTGAATATTGTTAAATTTTTTAATTTTTCTATAAAGTACAAACTAGTTATCAGAAGTCTCAGGATGTTGTTTTTAGTTTTTAACTAAATAAAATCCTACTGCTCTATGAGTCTCAGATGTTTCTTAAAAGACATGACATATACTGTACACCTGTGACATTGTTACTGAAATACAATTAATTTCAGATTTAATTTTAATGTTAGAAGTTTACCATACATATGGAGAAAAATGTATTCAGGTGTGATAGTTGCCACTGAGACTGGCACTTCTTCCAAGACTATCTATATTTATACTTTTAAATTGTAATCATTATGTTTTTTTCTCTTCTAACAAATGAATTTCTTTCAGCTTTATGAGACATAAAAAGGTCTGACAACTGATATGGCTGATTCTGAATTCATGTAATTTATATGTGGCAGTAAAACTTATTGAAAATACAGCTCCAGTTTTTCACAATTAACTTATTCCACCAAAACCCAAGATCAAAATAGCCTACCCTTGGTCCATAGCTCTCTCACACCTAGAGGTTCTGCCTGCCTATACCGTGTTTCATGTCCAACAACTTCCTAGCTACATGAGGTCAGAACTAAATGTATAAACGTCCACTTTAATGACTGTTTAATTCAACTTTCTTCTACAGAAATAATAGATTTTAAAAGTAACAAACTTGTAATTTTTGAGAGCACACTAAATTTATCAAGAGTACTTTACCTGAGAGTCCAATGGTACATTATACACTTCTGCATCCAGTAAGACAGTACAAGCACTAAATGGCAGTGTCTGATTTGCCAATGTTCTTGCAGCTCTGTAATGAACACGGAGAACTTCCTGTTCATTGGATACAATAAGCTTTTCCTAGGTGAACAAATTAAAAAAAAAAAAAAACAACCTTGAACAAAATGTTTTTGAAATAAGATAAAATCACTTAAGATATGCTAAATAACTATAATCTCAGTTTCCTTCACAGTAGGCTTGAGAAATTAAAAAATTCCTAAAAGTATACAATTTAATTCCAGAACATTTTATCATTCCAGAAAGAAATCCCAATGCATTAGCAGGTACTCACTCTTTCCCCATCTTCTGGCATCCAGCAATCTATCTTTCATTTCTATGGATCTACCTGTTCTGAACATTTAATATAAATGAAGTCATACAATATGTGGCCTTCTGTGACTGCCTTATTTCACTTAGCATAATTTTTTAGAGGTTCATTCACATTATAGTATGTAGCAATACTTCATTTCTTTCTATGAAAACAATATTCCACTCTATGGATATACCATTTTATTTCTCCATTTCACCAGTTTATCATTGTGGGTTGAGAGCGCAAAATATGCCACTCAAAGCATGCCATTAAACATGGGAATTATTCTGAGCTGAAGTCACTTGAAAAATAGCAGGTGCAGTAGCACTCTGACTTCCCCCTTTCTTCCTGAAAGGAGGACATAAAACTCCATGGGAAAGATGTCCTCTCTATACCAGGAAGAAAAAACAAAAAAAAACCCAAACAGTTTTATTATCAGAGATGGAGAATCAAGGCCAAGTGAACTCTACAATAACATTTTATTAAAATAATTTATATCTTCCTTTAGTTTTTTTCCACAATTGCCTTTGTCCAAGTTAATATAAAAGCATTTAAGTTTTATTATTTCAAGTCTTCATTTCCTTATGAGGGCTCCGATGTTATATAAAACTTACATGAAAGGTTTTCTCTTGTTAATCTGCCTTATGTCAATCTAATTCTCAGGCCCAGACAGAGGTCCTAAGAGGGCAGAAGCAATGTTTTGCCTCCTCTACAGGCTGTTATCCTTTGGGGCTATCCTTAAAAAATGCTATTATGAATATTCAAGTTCAAAATTTTGTTTGGACATGTTTTCTTTTCTCTGGGGCAAATAACTTGGTATGAAACTGCTGGGTCACAAGTTTGTTTAACTTCTTGAGCAGCTGCCAAACTCTTTTCTACAGCAGCCTGAATCAATCATTTTACACTCCTACCAGTAATGCAAGAAGGTTCCAATTTCTTTATATCCTTCTCAATGTTTGTGATCTTTCAAATTATTGTTCTTCGAACAGATGTGATGTGGTATCCCTTTGTGGTAACAGCTTCTCTTTTATAATAAATATTTTCATATAAAATACTGTTTGCTGATGCCAACTGATTTAAACCTCTGACCATCACAGTAAAATCTTGCTTGAAGGAAATGAGGTCCAAAATGTAATAGAGTCCTAAAGCTAACAAAATGAAATAAGCAATTTTCTGCATATAGGAGACTAAGAATTCCAGGGGTCCAGTTGAAGATCTCACCCATCTTGTTCCAGTCTATAGACATGTGCCACCAAATGGTAACTAATTTGGTGCTTAAATATGAATGGGAAAAACTCTGGAATCTGTGGCTGGTAAAAACATCAAGGATAGAAGTAGTGACTCCAGCTACTACGCAAGTATGGTATTCTTTCATTTTGTTGGCCTTGTTTGGGAGGCTGGGCTGGGAGAATACAAAGGATATATCTTATCTTCTCACTACATGTTCTCCACTCTGTCCTCAAATGACAAGGACTTTAGTTTTCCTTCATTTGAGAATGCAGGTGAAAAGACTAAAGAATGATGGTCCAAATTAACTTGTTATGTGACAAATGATATTGAAAAGGGGTTTAAGTCTAAAGTTTATGATTAAGTTTAAAGTGCAACTTGAAATGATAAACACCCCAAAATTTGATCTGATAGTAAGAGAAAACCAGCTTAAAGAACTTTCCTAAGAAATTGTTTAGAGTCCTATAGAAATAAGAGCACTAATTAAAATCTTTCAAAAGCAAATACTGTGTGAAAAACATATTTTTCCTTCTCTTCATTTTTAAGTTTTTATTGATTTTGGTGCTAGGGTCAAAGCGCATTTTGTAAAGTTAAACCCTTCCTCTCTTCAAATAATTAAGAGAGATATGCTGCTTAATTGCTAGTCCAAATATGCCATTTTGGATCAGTGTTTCTAATTTTGTGTCTCTGAATGCCTAGAGCAGTGCTAAAGTACTGCTTCCTCTTATTTTCGGTGGTGCATGGGGCATTTCTGAACAAATGAGCCTGGGGCTAGCTGGGGTAGCAAGCCTTGTTCATTCACTTAGCATGGCATTCAAATGGTATCATTTTCTGCAGGGAAAATAACCCTATGATAAGAGTTCTTAACTTGGGGTCCTCACACTCAAGAAGCCTTTTTTAAATTAAAAGAAAAAAATTTTAGTTGTCAATGGACCTTTATTTTTTTTATTTATATGCAGTGCTGAGAATTGAACCCAGTGCCTCACACATGCTAGGCTAGTCTCTACCACTGAGCTACAACCCCAGCTCCCAAAAGCCTATTTTTAAGTGTGTGGAGTGGGGGAAGTGATCTGTAAAACTGGATTGGACTGTGCCATTCTGAGAAGCATGATGAAACCTTGGACCATTATGTTCTGCCCCATCTAGGAGGTGAATCATTCCTTTGTCCAGAATATTCACACTAAATGCTCCCCTCTTATTAGTAATTAATAGCTCATACAGCTTAGTAGTTACCAGCAGTTATCAGGTTGATTGGTACTAGTGTTTTGGTTCAAAAGTACCCTTATTTAACTTAGTAATGCCCCCAAGGTCCAAAGAGAAGTGATGCTGGCAATCTAGATGTGCCAGAGATGCCAGAAAGTGTTTCCTTCAAGTGCAAAGTTAAAAGATTAGGACTTAATAAGGAAAACAACAACAACAACCTGCATAGTAAGATTGCTGAGATCTAAGGTAGTAACAAATTCTGCACAGTCTGTGTATAGTATAGGATTTTCAGACATTGTGAGACAACCACATAACTTTCATACAGTCCACTGTTATAATTAGTCAATCTCTACTAGACCTAATTTTTAAATTAAACTGTATCATGGATGACTGTATAGGAAAAAAAAAACTGTGTATGTACATATGTGCATATGCACACACACATACACACATGCACATATATATACACACACACATGATGGTTTGGTACTTTTTGCAGTCTCAGACCAAGGGTCTTGGAATATATCCTTCATGGATAAGGGGGGAACTACTGTATTTGTCTGCTGCTGTAAGACATGACAGCAGTTCTTCTGGTAAAAACATTTCTGCAACACAGCCCAGTATCAAGTTATTCTGTAGCTAGTAGTTATTCATCCACCAAATGATAAAGCTGATCTCATGGTGGTCAGATATTTAAGATACTTTGTAGTAAGCTGCGATTTAATTGTTTGTTGGTCAATATGTAGGAGATGGCAATCCTGTTATTTGTTAAAATTCTGCAAAGTGCACAATTCAAATGAAAATCCTGAACTGTAACAAGGCATAGCTTTCTATAACCTGAAGAGGAGTATAGATAAATGCTATCGAGGCTTCAAATAGGCCTAATGGCTGAAATAGCTACTGACACACTGAATGACCTAATTGCTTATTGCTGTTAGGAAATTATGCCCAGTGCTTCTTTATTTGTTGCTTCTCTCTGTGATTCTACTAATTCCACATTATTCACTTAAAAACATTGTTCTAATGGATTCCAGATTGTTTCAGAAGTCCATTGTACAAAACACATAAAAAATTTCTGTCATGGGGAACCAATTATGTATGAATCAAAGGAGACTGTATATTTCTATGAAGGAGAACAATTTACATATTCAGATTCACTTGACCCTCCCACAAAATTAAGAAGGTGTTATATTTTTGTAAATCCAACTGAAATGACTTTCATGATTTTTACAAATCTGTTTTTTTTCCTATCATTTTATGCCAAGACTAAACACTGAAAACCAGACACTAGGGCAGAACTATAAGGCCAAATAAACATAGCCTCTATAGCTTAGCCCTAAAGTGGACAGTATCAAGTCAAGGATTCAAAAACTTGGAAATATGAATATCCTTCTACGAATCTATTGCTATCATTCTACAAACTCAACAATGATAATAAGTGTTTACTAGAGACTTCTATGTATCAAAAATATACTTAACATGGAACAACTATACTAAAAGAGGTATAAAATTTTTCTCTTTAATTGGATTAGTACAAGCTAACAAAGTCAGTTTAACTATTTCCCAAAATGACTCTAAATAAGGAAAATCCACTAATGGAAAATAAATTATAGGCCATTTTGTCACTAAAATAAATTATTGCATAAATGTATTTAAATGTACCTTACCCTTTCAATACTGTGTTGCAAACGTAGTTTCATCCTTACAACTTCTTGTTGCCGAAAAAGCTCTTTAAGTGGATCTGACAGAGAAGGTGGTGGTGTAATCTAATTAAAAAATTGGAATCAGTTATTTACAACAATGGGCTCTTTTTTTTTCTTTTAAAATTAAACTTCTGGCATATAACTTAAAATCCTGATGTTCTGTGAATTAAATAAAGGTACCAATTACACAACTGGTTGTTACTTCTCAGTCAATTCAAACTGTTTGAAATATAGCAGAATGTGCAATATGCATAGGTGTTTTGATTCTGAGGCCACAGAATATTTCAAAGAGTAAATCAGAGGGATTAAGGAAGTTATTTACTGTAGAGGACAGACATAAGCTTCTTTGTGGACATGATAAAAATCAAACACTAAAACATTTGAGCATTAAATTTAGTGAACTATCTCATATAAAAGTAGATGAAATGGTCTAATAAATTTGTAGTTTTCAAATTTCATTACTATGTGTGATATCATAAATTTGCCCATCTGTACTCTAAAATTAAAATTTACTGGTTACATTTCCATTTTGATATTAGAGTGTGCTTTTTCTGATAGATGTTGGTGGTTAAGGAAGTTGACTCAACATATGGATGCACTCTACTGATAATATAAAAAGATATCTAAATATGGATGTGATCTCTAAGTTTTCTCCTCTACCCCTTGGAGTATCTGTATTTTCCTTGCATATACTTGCTGTCAGTGTATTAGGGGAAAGTAAAATATCTCAGGATATTTGACTGCTTAACTGTCAATTCCATATGAAAGTGGAAGAATTCCCAATGTGGTACAAGAATCATAACAGTATGCATCAAAGCTCTTAGTGAAGAATTGGACATGGATCCACTAAGGCTCTATAATTAACAGATAAGAATTATGGGAAACCAAAATGTATTAGATAAAATCACAATAATTGAATCATTCCAATCAGAATGGAAAATGCTATATGGCAAATAACTTACTGGGCTAATCATTTTTCAGATCTCTAATTGCAGTAATATATTCGATTTCTGTCCTGTGAACTGCTTTAAACAAGAGCTATGAGTCTGGTGCTCTTTAGTTTTGCAAAATCTAGCTATCACAACTATCACAGAGGAAGAATATCCCGTCATCTAAGTTGGGGTACCAGAGACAGCTTCCTTGAATGGATTTAATGTCTAAGCTGTAGAACAGAAGAAATGAGTTCCCGTGGGGGTGGGGGGAGAAAGAAGGGAGGGACATAGTCACCAGAAAAGAGGGGAGCATGATCCAAGGTATGAAACAAAGAAACAGAACAGGATCTACAGGAAACTACCAGAAGTTTTAAATTTCTTTCAGATAATCTTTTTTCTTCCTATACAGGAAACTAAACCCATGAGCACTTTACCACTGAGCTACATTCCCACCCTTTTTAAAAATTTGAGACAGGGTCTAACTAAATTGCTGAGGTTGGACTCAAACTTGCCATCCTCCTGCCTCTGCCTTCTGAGCCACCTGCCTGCCTGGCTTGAAACATCAAATTTGAGGAAAGGAATGGTGAGCTATGTGGGTGAAGAGATCAGCAAAGCAATGAAGTTTGTAAATCAACCTTTACACAGAACATATGTCCATACAGATAATGTCCAGGAAATGATCTCAGAACAAGTATGTTTGGGAAACACAGTATACATGTATTTACGTAGGAGTTGCACAACTACACATTAAAGGTTCTAAGAAGTCCTGCAACAAAGCAATCTATTTATTTTTAGATAAATAGCATTTCCCAAAGTTCTGGACCATGAAAACTCCCACACAACACACATATAAAGTATTTAATTAACATGCTGGAGAAATATGCATAACATAATAAGTTTGGATATAACACGGAATCACTGAAAGAGCTTATGGTTGACTGCTGTCTCTAAGGAACATAATACTAGGGGGACAAGATCAATGTTATGTTGGTGTGAGATGCAAGATGGAGCTGTGAGGCAGGGTCCAAAAATATTAGTGATTAAGAGGGATAAAAGGAAGGAACTAGCTTAAGCCTCTAGTTCTCAAATTAAAACCTACACATTTTGAGAACAAGAGGGTGGTAATAGTGACAGAGACCACAGAGTGGAGAGTGGAGAGGAGAAAGAGGTTTTTTATTGTAAATCCAGTTCAGTGCTGATGTGTTGAGTTTGTGAAGTTTAAGGGACATATGCAGAAGCCAAGGAGTGAGAAGTCTGGGCAGAATACGTAAATTTGGCAAACAACATATATCACATGCAGAAAGAGATAAAAATCAAAGAAATATATGACTTTCTGAGGAAACTTTTCCTGTGCAATTTTCCTCAACTTCAGTAAATTATGCTTGGAGATCTTTTTGTTTGGCAGAGTGGGGAATGAGCTCTTAACTTAGGAATGCCTTACTACTGAGCTACATTCCCAGCCTTTTATATTTTTTGAGATAGCAAGGGCCTCACTAAGTTGCTGAGTCTGCCTCAAACTGGAGATTCTCTTGCCTCAGTCACACTGTAATTACAGGTACATACCACCACAGCAGGCTCTTGGAATTTTTTTTTTAATATTTCAGTCCCAGAAGCCCTGAAAATACTCTCTTGACAGATTCTAAGGGGACATACTTTCCTATTATCACTCAATCTTGGAAAACCTCTGAAGGGTTTCTGTAAAGTGTGTTTTTACTAGAAACCCCAGTAGATACCAAATTGGACATTTTTTCTCCCTGCTCATTTGATTTGGGAAACTTGTTGTGCAGTTTTATTTTTTGTCCGTTGATTTCTTCTGGGAAAATGGCAACATTCTGGTTAAAATGTGAGGGTAAGAATTTAATGGAAGAATAAATATATAAACTGACTTTGGGATGTTTATAAAATGTGATGACTTTGGGATAAATGTGAGTCAATTATTTTGTTAAGACAAAAAGTCATTGACTGGGAGAAAACTAATGGATAATACCATATTGGAAAGTACAAAAAACAATGTAGTATCAAAGTAATTGTTATTATTTCTGGTGTTCATTAGTGTTCAAATTAAACTACAAAACAAGTTTCAGTTCATAAATTCAAAAGCACAACTTTCTATAAGCAAAATATTGGATTCCATACATCATCTCTAGTAAATATTAGCATAAATTCATTTGGTGTGGGATACAGTAATGGTAGCTTCTTAAATCAGTATTGTTTTATAAAGGTTTTAACAGGTTTCAGGATCACAGTATTTCAAAACCGGCTTCAGGGTGGGGCAGACATTTTTCTTGTTTTACAGATGTGGCTGCTAAAGATCAGAAAAGTAAAAGGAATCATTCAAGAATGCTGGTGTGTAGCAAAAGCTGTATTTTAACTCATGTATGCTAAATGGAAATCTGTTCTTTCTACTATATTGTGCTATGTGTCTCTACATAAGTAATTCTTGCTATAGGAAAAAAATCCACTACAATCACAGATATTTCTCAGCTCTGCTTATAGACTCTTTTGAAACAATATTTGATACAACAGAGTTCTTACATAAGCAAAGACATTCCTTAGAACTACTTCATAGGAATCAAATTTTTATTATGTCACCTTTGCAGGAGTAAGATGATAGTACACACAATAACTTCTCTCTCTTACAGAGACTGTGCAAAGGCAGCAACCTAACATGGTTTATTTGAAACTTTTCTTAACCAAGGTGTTCAAAAATGTAATTTAAATATGCCTATGACATTTAATATTATAGACTATTATATAAATAATATATAGCCTATGATACTATATATAAATTTCAGTTAAAATTTCTTATCCTTTAAGGGGAAATCAAATTTAGAAATAAATAAAAAAGTTACTAGCTTAACATGCTTTAAATTATTAACAAATGGTTTTGCTGCAAGTCTATGAATGACAAATTTACCATTCATTACTATTCGGCCACTACTGCTATCTAATTTTCTTTTAAGATTGAAAAGGCACTGGCATTGGGTATATTCTGTGGCTGTAAGGCTATAAAACCAACTTCTAATTTTCTGATCTTTTCTGAACTGAGCTTGAAAGACAAAACAACATCTGTAAAGCATGATGCAAAATAGCACACGATAGTCAGCAGACTTCAAGTATAGCCAGTGTACAGCACAGGTAGTAACTAGTGTCAAGTATAGAAAGTAAAGGAAGAACACTGTGTGCAAAAATATGAAACTGTGACTTTAGCCTATAGAAAACTGGTAATCCCTCAAGTCTGGTAGTCACATAATCAGGTGTGTTTTATAATGAACCCAGACCGTAACAAGGCTAGACTGAGAAATTATTAGATGAGAACTACGGAAATAAGGCAGCAATGCTTTGTTCTGATATCTACTCACTAGCACAGTGAGCATACAGTAACTGGCATATAGTTATGAATTATTTGTGAATGCAACATGGATATGTGAATATGCAATATTTGGTGAATAGTTCAAGGAGTAAATGAAATCCCTGAATGGCAGTGGTAATAAAGAAAGAAGGAAGCTGGGTACAGTGACACACACCTGTAATCTCAGCTACTGGGGTGGCTGAGACAGGAAGAGTCCAAATTCAAGGCCAGCCTGGGCAACTTAGTCTCAAAAAAGGCTAGATCTAGAGAGAAAGCTCTGGGGATATAGCATTCTTGGGTTCAATTCCCCTGTACTATGCTCCCCAACACACACACCAAAAAAAAAAAAAAAAAAAAGAAAGAAAGTTGAAGAGGTGACTTAACAACATTATTTAGTGACAGATTTGATGGGAAAGCACAGAGGAAGAAATCAAACCTTCAAGGAGTTTCCTGTATGGGAACTGGAGAACAGGTAACAATAATTAATTAGTTTACTATTACTTAAGAATGTTATATATTCAAATATTTATCATATTGTACATGCAAATAATTTTGAGGTAAGATAAATGGGTTTGATATTAGACCTATGATTCTAAGAATCTTGAGGAACATTTATATATTCAGAAGGATATTCAGGGCTAAAATTGGGAGTCATTCTATAAAGGATGAATAGTATCCTATCCCTTAATTAGATTATAATACAGAGGCAGAGATCAACTAGGATATCATAGGGAAGAGATAAGGAAAACACAAGCAATTCTGCTTTGACAGAAGCAGAAGTGACATCATGGCTAGAACCAACACATGCAAAAATATCAAGGGGGTCTAGTGAGAAGACCATCTTAGGGAGAGGGATATATAGCAGTTCTATCACTAGGGTATCAAAAGTACTGAACCAGAGATTCCTGTGGAATAATGAGTTCATTTAAGGTACTAGGTGAATCTGGAAGTAGTACTGAGAAAATGAAGCTAAATAGGTAGACTGGGGTCAGATTGGTAGAGCGCTTGCCTTGCACTTGTGAGGCACTGGGTTCGAGCCTCCGCACCACATAAAAATAAATAAAATATTGTGTTCATGTACAACTGAAAAGATATTTTAAAAAAGAAGAATTGGATTTTAAGCTACAGCCCATGCAAAGCCAATAAACAAGAAAATGGCTTTTTAATTTTTATTGATGAATTAAGTAATTTTTTTGGGGGGGTACACGTTAGAGCTTGAGGTCTTAATGCAAGAATGAGGTACTCACTACCTAGATCCTGGGAGTGCTGGTAGATGAGAGCTCATGCTGGAGTCCCTCTCAAAGAATTACCTTTCAGGAAAGAGTGCTGGCTGCCCAAGGGCATGCTCCCTCCCTGAGGGCAGGACAACCTGTAAGATGGGCCATTCCACTCCCAAGGATTCCACTGAGATCACTGTTTTGCATTTCAGTTCAACTTCTCATTCTGTTCAGTTCTGCTTCCTCACACTTATTTCTCATTACACACCACTAATAAACCTCTAGCAAAATATTTCAGAGTCTGCTTCCTAAGGAACTCAACCTAAGACACTGTTTGAAGGATAGTTAGGTGATGATGCTCAGAAGGCACCTATTTGATTCTGGAAGTCAAATGATATGGCTAAGTACAAAATCTCTGAGAACTATCACCTGGAAGAGTCCTGAAAGCAGAGAAATAGATAATTTCCATATCTGAAGAGCTCATAGAGCAAAAAGTTGACTAAAGAATGGATAGTCAGAGAACTCATGTCTAAAGGGTGGGTATAAAAATGAAGTCATAAAGAAAGAGAAGACGATTTGTCAGGCAGAGAAACTATAAGAGAGCATCATCATGACTAAGAAAGGGAAAATTTTATGAAGAACTAGATGGTACCAATGTCAAATTTGCCAAAAAAAAAAAAAAAAAAAGAAAAATGAAAAGAGGCCAATAAATCTGACTCAACACATGAGCTCACTATTTTTCTCTGCCAGTAGATAATGGCTAAGGAATTAATAGGAGACGACACAGGAAAAACATCATACAGTCTATTCTTCAAGAGTATGGCAGTGAAGGAAAGAACCAGGGGCAAGTCCCATGAGCTATAATAGGCAAGGGAGAACTTTTTTCTCCTCCATTCTGGGGAGACCCAAATATATTCTGTATGGGTAAATAAAGAACAACAGAAAGGCCTAGTTTTATATACAAGGACAGTGTTTTAATAGAGGAAGGTTCCACATAGAATTGGAAAGAATAAAACCAAAAGAATATGGAGAGGCATTAGACTTCAACAAAACAAACACACCTCCTCAAAAACAAAAGCAAAGCAAGGAATAAAAAGAAAATATGGTAGACTTGAGCTATCCAGTAAGGAAGCTACTAGTTGTAAATGGCTATTGGGCACTTTCTGAAATGTGGTTAGTCTGAATTGAAATATATTGTAAACAAACCAGATTTCAAAGATTCAGTTAAAAACAAGTAAAATATCTCAATATTTGTCTACATTGATTAGGTGCTGAAATGACTCTTTGAAAGTACAAAGTTACATAAAATATTACAATTACTTTTAACTGTTTCTACTTTTAAAATGTTGTCTAGAAAATTAAAAATTACGTGGCCTGCATTACAATTTACATTGGACATTGTTGTATATGTGTATCAAGTGACACTTATACTTACTGTGGGAATACAAATCTTGCTTAAAGGGTTTCCATCCAGGAGGTATGATCCATTAAATGTTACATATTCATCATAATACTGAGGTGCTTGAGGAATAACACTACACAATAATTTGCGCTTTTCTTCAATTTTTTTCCTTATGTGCAAGTACTCAAAATATGGATTTGCTCTCTCGGAACTATATGGCTGAATCTCATCTAGTTTCAGAGAATCTACAATGGCTGCCAGAGATTGCTGTGTTTTCTCTTTTGCTTGTAGTAAAGAAGGACTCACTTGCACAGGCTGAGGTACACGGGACACTTTCCTTTTTCGAGGATGGTGAATCTGAGGATCATCATCTTCAGTTAATCTTATTCTTCCCCTAGGAGATGAAGATTCACTGTCTTTTTCTGGCAACAGTGCACAGCTAGAAAGAAGTTGTTTGCTTTGATTTGCCACCATATTTGCTTTGTTTCTAGTCATTCTTTGAGGGATCTGGTTTTCAGTTTTATCATCTTCAGCATTTTCTTCTAATTCTACTTTGACTAATTGACCATATTTATGCATTTCTGGCTGAGCTGACTGCTGCGAGTGGTTCTCCAGACTTGATAAAGTGCTTTGTTGAGATTCTTCATCTTCAATGGAAAGCAAACACTTTTCACTTTCAGGACAATGTTTTGGATTATCTTGTTCATTTAGGTTTCCTTTTGGCATCCCTCCATTCATTTCACATAAATCAGAATCGCACTTATTCAAATGAGATAAAACCAAACTCTCCAATTTGTTCTCTTTTTCATGTGAAATAACCTGAATGTCAGGTGAGCTGTTTTCAACTTCATGGCTACTGGAAGATTTATAAGCTAGTTTACTAAATGCATAATGTGGATTTAGCTGAGGGGAGGTATCACTTACGTTAAAATCTTTTTCTGATGGTAATATAGACAAAGTGTTAGCTTTCTCAAAATTTGGTGATGCTTCTTGACTAGTGCTTTCAGAGTACACTGAAACATCTGCTAGAATGAAACTACTTTCCATATCTTTTGCAGATTCGTTATCAGTATCCAAAACAGAAGTGATCGTTTGTACAGTATTTTTCTGTTGTAAAATACTGGGCTCTTGATTGGCAACATATGACAAAGACACATGTTTGGAGATAGATTCAGCATCTGAAAGTGACTGACTGGGGAAAGAGCAAGGTTGCTGTGAAGGAAGAAAGGATGCTGCATCTTGAGCACAAGAGTTTCCTGGCAGTTCAGTCTGGTGAAGAGATAAAAAATCAGTATGATGTTCTTTCAATACTTTGTTTTCTGAATTGCAAAAACCCGGAACAGAGGAATCTTGATCAGGTATACTAGTATTTGTGCAGATAAAGTCACCAGTACTTAGTGACTCTAGTCTATCCACAGGTATCTCCCATGATTTATTCTGGATCACACCAACCTGATTAGATGGTTCCACGTGCACAGGACTGTCCATGGCACCGACTGGAGCAGTATTCTTGATTACATTTATATCAGTTGAAATATATCTGCTGTTTACAGATCTAGTTGGAGAGGTTACAAAACTGGAATGTATGTTAGATACATTTGAGAGGTCTTTTTCAGGCACATTTGATGATAACTCAGGTTTGGGAGAAGGGCACATATCTCTTGGCACAGCTAATAAGCTACCTTGATTGCTTTCTTCTGATACTGTTTGGAATTGTTTCGTGTGTTCACAAATGACAGATGGCATGCTACATCTTCGAACTTCTACAATAGGTCTCCCCTCATTCACAACTAGTTTAACATCTTCTACAGAAGATGACCTGAGATGGGATGCTGGAAGTCTATTAGCATATGATGGTTTAATCCGTTCTGGCAGTTCAGCAAGGCTGTCCAACTCCCTATCGTGAAGGGCAGGAGATTTGGCAATTGGCAAAAATGGTGACTGGGAAAATGACATTTGGGACTCAGAACCCTCTAACATAAAGTCAGAGTCATATTCAACCAGAGGCCTTGGAGTTGTCACGGTAGTATGGCAGGAATCTTCTGAACTAGCAACAGAAATCATGGATACAGATCTGGAGCTGAGACCGGGCTTTTCACTTTCTGATCTAGGAGACCTATTTAAACTACTGTCTGAAACAAAAGATGACTTCCCTAAAGTGATTACATTTTTGGTGTCAACAGATTGTGATCTATTACTAACTGCATCTTTAGACTGTTTCTCCTTGGTATAAGCATCAACCAGTTCTGAACTCTTTGACCTACTAAGCTCCTTGTTTTTGGATTCAACTAGGGCATGTTTTGCTTTTTCTTTATCTTTCACTTTAACTTCTAAACAATTTCGATTTCTTAATCGTTCCTTTTCTTTTTGCTTAATTTTTTCCTTATGTTTTTTATGCCACTGTTCTATTTCTAGGTCTTTAAGGCTAAGCATTCGTTCAAAACTTGTCTGCATTAAATCATCATTCACTAACCTCTTTTCTTTGGGTCGAATATCTTTTGATGCTGGTGAAGATTTAGATTTAGACTTATCTGTTTCAGATTTTAATTTGAGTAAACTATTTAGATGGATTTTATCTTTATGTTTGTCTCGTTCTTTGTATCTATCTATATCTCTATCTTTTTTATCTTTTTCTTTTCCATCTGGTGTTTTCAAAGGTTCATCTTTTGTTTTTTCTTTAAGGGATATAGTTTTCTCATGTTGTGCTTTACTACTACTGTCTAATGTACTTGACTTTTTCTCTTCCATTAAGTGTTTGGAGTTAGCTATATTTATACTTTCTTTGTCTCTGGACTTTTCCTTTTTATCTACTTCCCTGTCTTTGTCTTTACTTCTGCCTTTTTCTGATTTAGCATACTCACTGTTATCTGATTGTTTATTTCTTTTCTCTAAGTGTTTTTCTTTGCTTTCTGCTAAATGCCTCTCTTTTTCAGTTTTTTCTTTGTCATGTTTTCTATCCATCTTTTCTCTATTTTTCTCTCTGTCATCAGTTTTTTTAGTAGTACTATTTTTAATCTTCTCACTTTCTTTATAGCATTTTTCTGTGTGATGTGAATACAGCTTGTCCTTTTCTTTTATTCTCTCAACACAGTCACTAAAATCTAATTTGTCTTTTTCTGACTTATGCTCATGTTTTATCTTCTTCTCTTTTTCAGAATTTTTTCTTTCAGTCTTTTCAACATCTTTCTCTTTAGTTGGAAATCGTTTCTCAGATTTTTCCTTACTTTCTTTTGTATGCTTTTCTTGTTTTTCAATGTCCATTTCCTTTTCTATTGAATGTAGCCCTACAGATTCCTCATTTAAAATTAAACATGAAGAACTGAATTCTGTTTCTTTATCTGTAGGTACATTTTCTCTTTCTTCTTTTAGATCTTTTACCTTGTCTTCCCTGAAAGTTTTCTCACTTTCCTTCTTAATCTTTTCCCGTTCTTCTTTAAAGTTCCTCTCTTTTGAGGTATGCTTTTCCTTAGTTGGTTTATCATCTTTTATGTTTTTTTCCAATTTTGATTTTTTTTCTAATGTTAAGGACTCATGCTCCATATTTAAAAACAGATCTTCAGTTTCATCACTTTTAAAAAAATTCTCTTTCCAAAATTCTCTATCAAATTCTACGCTCCTCTGCAGTTCCTTAGTGCCATCCTTATTTTTATATTTTTCCTTTTCACCATCAATTTCTTTTTTGTGCTTTTCTTTTTCCCTATCTTTATGTTTCAATTTATGTTTTTTCAGTGTTTTGCCCTCTTTATCCATTTTTTTCAGTGTACAATCAGAATTTTCAAATGTTGGACTATGATCTTCATCCTTCAATTTGGTATTTGATTTTTCACCAAATTCTAAGTGAAAATCTTTCTGATGTTTGTTTTTTTCCTTATGCTTATAAGATTTTACACAGGAACTTTCAGGCAAGAATTCAGATTCTGTATTTTCATACCGAACAAGATCAGGCTGTAATGACATTTCAGAGCTTCCTGGAGATAAACATGTTTTAGTATGTTCTTGTTTCAGTGGTGTTGACTGTTTTTCACTCAATCCACAAGAATGTTTGGGAGATTTACCAGTGGAAATATGAAATAAATGTAATGAAGTATCATCTTTTGGACTAAAAGATTTCCTGAAATTCCCCTCCTCTCTGGTCTTTTCTGGACAATCTAGTGCAGTAGTAACTGTCAAGTTTGTTACTCTGGTATTTTCTTTTCCCTCTTTTTCTTGCTTTAACTCTTGGTTTTCTTTATTTTTGTTCTGGTTTTTTAATTTTCTTTTAACTTTGCCTTTCTGCTTATATTCATATTCCTTTTTGGTTTGTATATCAGAATTTGATGTTTCAGGGATAGAACATGCAGTAGAAACCTTTTTGTTCTGAAGAACTTCTTCATCAGAACTTTCAGTACTTGAATACAGAACCCTAGACGATTTTTGTTTTTTACTTTTAAATGATTTAGAATAGAAGGATTTCTCTTGTTTTGCAAATAAACTACTCTTTTCTGCTTCAGATTCATTCTCTTTTCGTTGTTCTTTCCTAAGAATATGCCTGTCATCAATCATTTTATTTATTTCTTCTTCATCATCGTCTTTGAACTCATATTCATCTAGGGCAGATGGAAGAGGTGCTTTAGTGGAGAGAATCTGTTTACTTTCACAGAGGAGAGAGTCCTTTTCTGTTTCAGAATCAATATTTTCATCAACACTAGATGGATTGACAGACTGAGCCTCTTCAGAATCTAGAATAAGAAAAGTAAAGTCTTGTTGGTCAAAATACAATTATGAGAAAAATAAGACAGAGGAAGAAACATAGCTTAAATAGTAAATATTTTAAATAATTCAGACAAAATCATTTCAGATTTACATGTACATCATGCAATAAAAATATGCAAGAGAGCTGGGGATACAGCTCATTTGGTAGAGTGCTTGCTTTGCATGCACGAGGCTCTGGGGTCAATCCCCAGCACCACCAAAAAAAATATGTGTGTGTGTGTGTGTGTGTGTATATACATATATATAATGCAAGAGCTCTGGTACAGTACTGTAGAACAGGTTTATAGAGAATTACCGTTATGATGATTTCCTTTTGGCTATTCTACAAGTATATGTTAAATTCAAAATATATAAAAATACATAAAGAGCAAAGGACACTGTACTCAGCGCAATCATTAACTATCAAATGATAAACATAAAATTCTATATATATCTTTTCTGGAGAGAGAACAGTTAAGATCTTTAGACTATGAAAATATTAAGAACTATCAAAGGGTTTAAGTAAGTAAACATGATAAATTGTTTTGTTGTATCAAAAAACTTATCAGTAAAACTGGAAATGATCACATGATTCCCATGAAGGGCAATGCTTTATAAACAAAGGTTAAGTTTCCCTCCAATGCTGGTAATTGAAACCAGAGCATTGTGCATGCAAGGTAAGCTATACCACTGAGCTACACATGTAGCCACAAAAAAATGGATTTAACCATACCACAAACATGATTCTTGGGGAAAACAAGTTGTGAAAAACTAAAAGAAATAACCCACAATTACATAATCAAGATTGTAATAGATAAATTGGAATAAATATATAATTTGAAAAGAGGTGCTCTGTTCCTTAAGTTGTTATCTACAATTTCAACAGTTACTAAGATACATTTAGTTCAAAAGGGTGAATAAGCACATGAAAGCTTAATTTTATGAAATTACATCTAGCCTATTGTATAAATATAGCCAAAGCCTTGCTAGATTCTATTTTAGTAAAATTTGTTTAACAAAAAGAATGATTTTCTTCCCAGGTTGACATCTTTTCTTAGCTGAAATGTATACATGGAGTTGCAACTGAAAGAACTTAGGACTCTTAAGGGAAAAGTAAACTGAGAACTCTGACCAGGAGGAACTTCACTAAACTAATCACAATAATAATTAAAACACTTCATTTACTAATTGTGTGTGTATGTGTTCTGGGAATGGAATTGAGGGCCTCACACATGCTGTATCTCTAGCTCCTGGCTTAATATTTAATAATAGAAAAATGACACCTTATATATATTAAGCTTCCTCTAAAGTAATCTAGCTCCTAAATATTCTCTTCAAAGGAAAATTCAAATTCTAGAAAGATTTTTGAATGGCTATAAGGTACTGTCCTAGGATCTCTGAGAGATCACAATCTTCTTTTGAGGACAGTAATATTCCCACACATATCATTATAAAGTGCCATTCAATGATGTATTTACTCTCTATGTACTCATACTTGATGTACTGTCTATGTACTCACCTATATACTATAAAAAAATTTTAGAACTGAAACTCTACGTTCATTTAAAATGCTCTTTGCAATCATTAATTAGTGCAACCACTCTGCAAAGCAGTTTGGAGATTCCTCAGAAAACTTGGAATAAAACCACCATTTGACCAAGTTATCCTACTCCTCAGTATAAATCTAAAGGGCTTTAAATGAATGCAACTGGAGACTATAATGTTAAATGAAATAAGCCAATCCCCAAAAAATAAAGGCTGAATTTTCTGATATGCAGATGCTAATACACAACAAGGGGGGAGGTTTAGAGAATAGAAGAAGTACTTTGGATTAGACAAAGGGGAACAAAAGGAAGGGAGGGAGAATGGGAATAGGAAAGACAGAAGAATGAATTGGACATTACTTTCCTATGTTCATATATGCATACATAACCAGTGCAACTCTACATTATGTACAAGCACAAGAATGGGAAGATATACTTCAAGTATGTATAATATGTCAAAATAGATTTTACTGTCATGTATAACAACAAGAACTTAACAATCCTATTTGTAGTCATTAAAATTGCAATATGCAATATCAAGTCATAGAACTTTATCCAACAAATCTGAACATCTATTTTGGGGCTGTATTTATATTGGGCCTTGAAAACATGAATCAAAGAATACGTATGTGAACATCTTTATACTTTTAGTCTGGAGGACATTTCTCTCCTTAACAATTTTCAATATTTCGTTTTTCATGGCTTCTATTCACCTTATTTCTCAATAGATTATTAGTTTTCCTGGAAATTGGGTTCCCTTTTATTGTCCCATAAAAGACAATAAAAAGTACAGTGCTCTACATTTAGACTCAGTCTTGGGTAAATATTTATCTAGCTCCACTAGGCAGAGTGCTAGGTGCTAAGGGAATATAAAATGAAAAGATCACAGTCCTTGCCTAAAGAAGCAACTGTACTTATTTTAAGTTAAATGGCACAATAACTGGTAAAATGGCATTAGATACCATGCCCACAGGATATACTCAAGAATGAGCTGCTCAGAAGGAATGGAGAATTAAAGAAGGTTTCTCAGAAGTAGTACTGAAATGATGCATGAAATATGCACAAGAATTTCAGGTAAGATTTAAAGGCATGAAAATAACTATTATATAAACAAGAAGCTGAAATCACAGTAGGTAACATTCCCACCCCCATTCAATAGATTGTAGACACTTTGACACTGTATTTTCATTGCTGTTTTTAATAGCTGCATATTAGACTATTAAACTAATTCCTCTATTGAGGCAACATTTAGGTTGCTACTAATGACTTGATATTACAGATATTCAACAATGAAAAAGAATTTTAGAGTGTACTGTTACTTGGAAATAGCAGAATATAGTATTTGCATGTGTGTAAGAAAAAGGGAATAAGAGAAACATATTGAAATAGTATCTGCAGGAAACTAGTTGGAAGAATTATGATTTTTATTTTCTTATTTAGAGTTTTCTACATTTTCCAAATTCCTAGCACAATAGATCAATTTATTTTGTTAGGAATTTTTTTTTTTTAAGTTCACTGCTACTAAAATGGTCCCACTAACTTTTGTGATTATTGGTATGGATTACTGTTCCATGCATGTGTTCTTCTTTTTTGTGTAATGTCACTTTGTAATTTCCTCAGCTATTTTCTTCTAACCTTTTTATGCCTATGAAAAGATCACAGTCCTTGCCTGAAGAAGCAAGTACACTTTTAAGTTAAATGGCACAATAACAGCTCAATTATACTATACATATGTTACAATATTTCATTTAACATATCATAGTTTTTAAATTTTTGAATATATGTATTAAAGGTTAAACACAAATTCTCTTAAGGGAGTTACACATACATGTATACACTGAGAGATACATATTTTGTCTTTTACGTTCTTGTTTCATCAATTGAATGTATGTTCTTCAGTGTGTAAATGTCCTGACTTCCTCCTCTTAATGCTTCTTTTAAAAAGATATGTCCTGTTTTAAAGGCAAAACTACAAATTCTAAAATTAACAAGTTAGTTCGACAGGAGCTAATGTCCACAATGACAGTCTTCAGAAATTTCCCTGGGTGAATGAACTCAATCTGACCTGGAGTACCAAGTCACATGCTTACCAGGCACACTCTGACAGTTTTTCTGCGCCATCTGTGATGATCTTATACTGCTTGCAGAGGCAGAAGCTGATCACCAGCCACTAAACCTCAGCAAAGACCATCACCTCCCTGATGCCATTTCATTTGCAGAACAGGCTGAAATCCTTTTCCTTCCTTAATTACTCCTCAATTTTTAAAATCTTCTTTAACCACTAAGAAAAATCAACCTAGAATCTGGATTCTAGTGGGGCAGTAGTTTTTCAAAAAAATATTTGTCCTGCCCTTCTTAGTAGATGGCTGCTTAAGTGAGAAAATCCTCTGTGTCCAAATCCTCAAATTCCTACAGTCAAAAATGGCCATGGTTATTGTTATACTAAGCTATCATTTTGTCACACTTTTAAAAGTCTCTAATGTTTATCTAATTACTATATTTGAACTTTTACTTAAAGTAGCTTATAAAGTTACTTTTAAAAAGAGGCTGGAGATATAGGTGGGTTGTAGAATGCTTCCCTATAGGGGTGAGGCCCTAATTTAGATTCTCAGCACTGCAAAAGTAAATAAACTGTAAACAAAATGGACTTTTAAAATTTTTTAATGTTTATCATGAATCAATTTATTCTCTACAATCTTATAATCGTATTTGGGAAACTAGGAAAGGTAATGAGAAATAATCAACTGTTGTAATGTCTTATTGGAAATTTTTAAAATAATTTCTTTCCCATAAAAACTAACAATTAAGCTTCACTTTAATACTTAGCAAATATACTTAAATACATTTGAAAATTGCTCTTTTACATCTCAAGACAATTTTAGATGTCTGTTAACTAAGACTAATGTCATTTAAACAATGGCTAAATGTTATAAGAGTTCTCTAGTATTCTAAGCTTAACTAAATCTACCATAAATGTTTATAATTTCTTATAGATCAAAATCCAGATGTGACCAATTTGGGGAGATCACAGTATAATCAGTAAATCTCTCCCCTTGAAATCTCTCCAAAATAACAAGTAGAGAGGTTTTGAAGGACTTTTGAAACTATCTGCATTGTACATTACACATTTTTAGGAAAATAATTATTCTATTAACATTCACATACATTTCAGGAGGGTGTGATGTTGACACAAAATTAATATACCATCACTCTAAAAGTACAGTCGAGTCCAAGTCTCTACCTCCCACCTTTCCTCTGACATTCAGCCAACCAACTGTCTGGACTCCTGTCAACCACCTCAAAAATCAAGACTAAAAACATTAACTCATTATTTCCCTTCCATAAGTACTTCCTCTTGCTGCTTAAGCCAGTCTTCCCTACCTGAGCAATAACAAACAAGAAAGTTACTCAAATTAAAAAATCCCAGAGGCATTTTCTTTTTT